TGTTTTGTTTTGTTTTGTTTTGTTTTGTTTTGTTTTGTTTGTAATAGCCATCCTAGTGGGTGTGAAGTGGTTTTAATTTGCATCTTTCTGAGAATTAATGATGTTGAGCATTTTTTAAAGTGGCTTCACCCTCAAGACTTGAATTCATGACCCTGAGATCAAGAGACCGGTGTTCTACCCACCGAGCCAGCAAGGCACCCCAATATTGAGCATCTTTTCATGGCCTTTTGTCTATCTCCATTGGAGAAATGTCTATTTAGATTCTTTGCCAATTTTTCATTTGGGTTGTCTCTTATTTTTGAGTTTTAAGAGTACTTAGTATATTCTAGATTCAGGTCCCTTTTCAAATATATGATTTGCAAATGTTCTTTCTCATTTTATGGGCTGTCTTTTCACTTTCAAGATAATGTCCTTTGTAGCACAAAAACTTTTAATTTTGATGAAGTACAATTTATCTTTTTTATCTTTGGATGCTTACACATTAGCTATGATATGTAAGAAACCATTGCCTAATTGAAAGTTGTGAAGATTGACTCTTATGTTTTCTTCTAAGTGTTTTATAGCTTTAGCTCTTACATTTAGGTCTCTTATCCATTTGAGTTAATTTTTATATATGGTGTGAGGTAGGGATGTAACTCCATTCTTTTGCATGTGAATATTCAGTTGTCTCATGACCATTTGTTGAAAAGATTATTCTTTCCCTCCATTGAATTATCTTGGCATCCTTGCTGAAAGTCAGTTGACTTCATTTTATCTACAGTTTATTTCTGGACTATTAATTCCATTCCATCAATCTCTATTTCTGCCAGTACCACAATAAGTTTGGAAATTATGGCTTTTTTACTGACACATACTCATTATAAAAAAAAATTCAAGCAATACATAAAAGTACAAAGAAGAATGTGAAATAATATTTAAAATCCCACCACCTATAAATACCCATAATGAATATTAGGTGAACTTCATTCCAGGAATTACACTCTCTATTTCTCCCTTTCTATATGTTATAGATGATATGTATACATGTATCTGGATGTGTATCTGTACATATTATATATATGTGTGTGTATGCGTGTGCACATGTATAGACACAAAGAAATATTTTAAAATAATTTTATAGGGGCGCCTGGGTGGCTCAGTCAGTTAAGCGTCTGACTTCAGCTCAGGTCATGATCTCGCAGTTCATGAGTTCAAGCCCTGCATGGGGCTCTGTGCTGACAGCTCAGAGCCTGGAGCCTGTTTCGGATTCTGTGTCTCCCTCTCTCTCTCTGACCCTCCCCCATTTATGCTCTGTCTCTCTCTGTCTCAAAAATAAATAAACGTTAAAAAAAATTAAAAATAAAATAAAATAATTTTATAAAAATAGGATTATATTGTATGTGCTTTTTAATGAAGTGTTTTCAACTTTATTTTACTTGAATTTAACAAATGAAAAAGAAACTAGTGAATGCAAAAAACTTTCCTGAACTTCAGATACATGTAAGAGAGAAAAGAGTCTTCTATAGTTAAGAAGGATGATTACAAAAAAGTCTTTGAGGTTGAAATTATTTTTTTCTCTTTAGCTATTTTCTTTTTAGAAAGCATTTGTTTATTCACTTCTGTAAAAGCTGAAGAAGTTAGCAGTTATGTATTTTCTACTACTTTTCCCCCAATTTGAAACTTTTCTTAGTGAATATTTTCACATAGTTAAGGTTTATATCCTTTACAGTATGTGCTGTAGCCATACTTTTCACAGTTGTATAGTCTTAGCTCTGTATGTAAAGGACTTCACTTTCACCCCCTGTCACTGTTTCATGCTTATGTATTTAGGAGTGCCATATTTTGATTTGACTTTTTGTTGGCTGGACTTGTTATCAAATTGATGTTCAAGTTGAAGACACACTGCTTCTGTGATTTTTGAGTTCGTATGTGCTTGAGAATGTTTGTTGCCTTTATAGTTGAATTACAAACTGGATTGGTATAAGATTCTCGGGTCACATTTTCATTTCCTCAGAACTTTGTGGATATTACTTAACCTGCCTCCTGACATTAATAAAGCTGTAGAAACTACTTTTTCCTCTATATACCATTCAGATGAAAGAAGGATTCTTTTTCTTTTATCTGTGACATTTAGTAATTGACTCAGAAAATAGCTCGGTGTCTATGAGTCTGCATCAGTTTTATGTTTTTGTTTTTCCCTAGAAAGGAGTGTGCACTTCCAGTTTTACCTTCTGTTCTTCCTTCTTTTGGTAAAATTGTCTTAGCTGTATGTTTGAACACATTTGGGTTTTTTTCCCTTGAAGGGTCCTGAATTTCAAGGTTACCAGTTATCCTTATGTTACATCATCTTTGTTTTGTTTTTTGGGAGAGAGGATGCAAGTGAGCGAGGGCAGAGAGAGAGAGAGAGAGAGAGAGAGAGAGAGAGAGAGAGAGAAGCGGGCCTCTCCTGAAGGTGGGGCTTGTGTTCACCCAAAGCAGGGCTTAAGATCACCTGATGTGGGGACTTGAACCCACAAACCATGAGATCATGACCTGAGCTGAAGTCAGATGCTTAACAACTGAGCCACCCAGGCACCTGCCTCTATTTTATATCATCTTTGCCTTCCATATCTTTTATTTTCTAATTGCTTTTGTCTTTTTGTTCTTGATGGCCTGTGTTTATCTCAAATGATATTATTTTTGTTATTAATGTTGTTATAACATTATAGCAATTTTTTTTCTTTAATGTCTGTTTTTATTGCTGTTTCTGTATTATTGGTGCTCCTGTACTGGTATTATTTTG